CGCTAACTCCATAGTCACCAAGGCTCACTTAACAAGCGCTAACTCCATAGTCACCACGATTCACTTAACAGGCGCTAACTCCATAGTTGCCAGGATTCACTTAACAGACGCTAACTCCATAGTCACCAAGATTCACTTAACAGGCGCTATCTCCATAGTCGCCAGGGTTCACTTAACAAGCACTAATTCCATAGTCGCCAAGGTTTACTCAACGTGCGCTAACTCCATAGTCGCCAAGGTTTACTCAACATGCATCTTTCATCGCACACCAACTATTCCATCTACCCATGTTCTACCCAACATATTTGTAGATATAATATATATATATATATATATATATATATATATATATATATATATACATGTTAGCTCATTTAAAACCTATATAAAATATTTATTTCACCCATCTCAAATAAACAAACAATATATAAACACATAGCACGTATTTCATAGCAAATACTTTGTATTTATGTGTTAAAAGAAAGTAACTACATACTTACTCGTAACATATAATTAATGCATTCAAACATTACTTGTATTAAAATCGTGTTTATGAAAGAGACTATACACTCACTTGATTAGAAGATGATCGGACAACGCCTCGTCTTTTGATATAATCTTTTCCGACGAAACTGGGATGTTTTCTCCAAAAAACCGGGCTTCACGCGGGCAGAGCTTCGGCTTGGGAATTTTCACTTCTCAGGATCTTCAGGGCTTTGGAACTTGCTTCGGGGCTCGGGATTAATACTGCGGCTTCAGGATATTTCTTGTACGCAAAAAGATGCAAAAATGAGAGGGAAAGGAAGAAATGAGCAAAGAAACTCGGCTGCACTTGTGTTCTATTTATAGGGGCTGAAACCCCGAGTTACGTTGGGCGTAACCCCAAATTACGTTGGGCGTAATCCTCCGTCGACATGTACACTGGGCGTACCGGGTGGATAGGGTCGGATGAGTCACGGGTTTTGTATTATCTGATTTTATAATTAAATAAATATATTTTAATTATTTAAAAACTTCAAAACTTCATATCTTCCTCATACGAACTCCGTTTTCAACATTCTTTATATCCACGCGTATGTGAGGCTATGCTCTACAATTTTCGTTTAGACTTTGTCAGATGATTTCGACTTTATTTTTATTATATTATTTTTAGTAGGCCGGGACTGAAAAACTCCATTATAAATTCGTAACTTCTTCCTCCGACGTCTGTTCCCGCCTATCTTTTTACCGTTGCACTACTATTAACGAGATCTTCGATTCTCGTTTAGATTGTTTCGTGTAGAAATCACTCGACCTCAAAATTGAACTTCGGGCTGCACACCGCTAAGCTGAAACTTAGAAAAATCATAACTTCCTCATACGAAGTCAGATTTGGACGTTCTTTTTATGCACGCTCTCAGTTTAACAAAGTCTACGCCTTTCGTTTAGATCACTAAGGCAAAATATTGCTCTAACGTAAATTCACTTTTTACGTCACAGAACGTTGTGTCGGTTCTATCGCGAAACTTCGACAGGTCATAACTTCTTCGTTATAACTCGGATTTCAATGTTCCTTATATGTACAGAATCCTTGTAATATATACTACAACTTAGGCCTTGTTTGATAGTTACTGACTGAGAAAGTGCTGACTGGGAAAGGTTTGTTTGGGTAAGAAATCCTGATTGAGTAAGAAATCATGTGACCATTTTACCCTGTTGTTATATATAGTGATGGATTAAGTTGCTGAATAATTATAAAAACATACATATTGTCATAAAAAATGTAAATTACACACAAATAAAAAATGTCATACAAAATGTAAATTAAGCATAAATCATTTCATATCCAAATATAAACATAATGAAATTTAAAATAACATAATAATTTAATGTAAAGTAGGTGAAAGTAGTCGATTTGCAATCTGATCATGCAAAACACGCATATATTCAATGGCTTCTGGACCCCATTATATGCCTTGTATGTATTCTCTATCAATTCCCCCACCTTGGACGTCAGGAGTAACCATAGTGTCCTCCTCAAAATTTCTAAATAAGTCATCTTCTATATTATATTTCCTTATAAAATTATGGATTGCGACACAAGCAATAACTATGTCTCTTTGCACTGTAAAAGGATAAGGAGCCATTTGTTTTAAGATTAGGAATCTTGCCTTCAATACACCATAGGCACGCTCAATAACATTTCTAAGTTATGCATGAGAATAATTGAACCTTTCTTCTCTAGTTAAAGGTCTGCCTCTTCGAAAATCGACTAACCAATACCTAGTATTGCGGTACGGAGCCATAAACCCACGAGTGTTTGTATATGCGGCATCACAAAGGTAATATTTATGTGGCACATATTATATAATGACACATATTATATAAAGATGATAGATAATAAAAATTATATAAGGATTACAAACCTGGTGGAGGAAATGGAAATCCAGAAGTCGAATTGAATGCAACTTCTTTCAAAACTCTTGAATCATGTGCTATACCCTCCCATCCAGCCCAAACAAAGGTGAATATCATATCAAAATCACAAATTCCTATTACATTTTGAAAACATTCTCCTTTTCCTCTTCATCTATAACGAGTTTGCTGATCAACGGGTACAACCGTATGTACAACAGTTCCATCTAATGCACATATTGCTCCGAAAAAAATATTTTTTAACCGTCTATGTCGTTCCGAGTTATGTCTTGTTGGATTAGGAGTTGTTGGTACTATAATTTCTTTTGCAAAATACATCATTGCTGTTAGGACTCGTGAAAACATTGATGAATCATTTGTGTGGAGTGATGAAATCTTCCCTTAACCACGTGAAAATGTTCATTATGTCCTATAACATGTAAGAATGTAGCCATCTTCTCTTCAATGCTTATCGTCTTACTAGCTTGCAACCAATTTTTTTGGGTAAAATGGTTGCATAATAATGCAAACCCCTCTTATGTAATACGCGTCATATCGAAACATTGTGTAGGGTCTCCGTACATCAAATCTTGCGTATACGCATACCCATTTGAATTGTTATCTTTAATTCTATGGATTCTTATCAATCTGTGTCGGTTTGACCTCAACTAATAAAACACAAGTAAAAGAAAAGCTACAACTTCACCATCAGAAACCATACTTGACCTGTTACAAACAATTAGGTAAAATGTTAAAGTAAAAAAAAAAAAAAAAAAATCATGCACCAAAAAAATTAGTAAACATCATCCAAAGTAACATTAGTCATATTCAATATCTAATAACATATCATCCAAAGTAACAAAAAGTTATATAAGAAAAAACTAGTAAACATCATTCAAAGTAACATCCAAAAAAGTCATTGAACATAGGATCCAAAAGTCATGCAAATAACAAAAAGTCATCCAAAGTAACAAAAGTCATATAACAAAAAACTAGTAAACATCATCCAAAGTAACATCCAAAAAAGTCTTCTACCCGCACCCATTAAAGGTAACCATACTTCCTACCCACACCCATCACCCACGACCCACAACTAGCATGCGAAATCGTAACCAAACTTTTCGAAAATCAACACTTTCACCAAATAGAAAAAGAGCGGTATTGTGTCTTTCATCTTCTTCTCCCTATTCCATTTTGTTCAATTTTTCCATACATGCATCAACATCCTTATCCATTTCACTTTTTTCAATTCTTTCATTTTTTTTCCACTAACGACCTTACAAGCTTGACAATCTCCTCCTCAACTTCTAATGCCATTGCATCTCTTTTTTTCCACCAACTCTTTTGTTTCCACCAACTTCCTTATTTTTTGAACACCCAGAAGATTCTTCACTTACACCTACGTGTTGTGTTGAGGTCTCCATTAGAACATCATCATCAAAATCATGGGTACTAAACTCTTCTACGGGATGAGGGAGTGTAGAAGATGGCCCCCAACTTTGAAAGCCGGTTGAGGTTGAGCCTTCAAATAGTTGGGTGCAAAGATCAGGGAATAGTAAGGGTTTACTTTTCAATGACAACACGAACTTGTTCAACTATTTACAATTTTTATAAATATTAGTATTTGTTATAAAAATAATCATACTAGTATTCGTTATAAAAAGTATTACCTTCTCCTCTTCCTTCCATTGTTCATCGGTCAGATTAAATTTATTTTTTATAGGATCATATATATTGCCAGTTTTGTTTTTCAGTTTCACACAAGCAACATATTCTGATTTGTAGTAGTCAAAGTGGTTTCTCATTTGCTTCTGATCAACCTCTTTACCGTGTTCATTTATGAATTTTTCACGTATTGTCTTCCATAAACTCGCCTTAAGCCTAGAACCCTCACGATCATTAGTGGTTAGTTCATGGATACATGCATCAAGAAACGTTTTGTCCTCACTCTCGTTCCAAACCAACATCCTAAAACATTAATATTTAAAGTAATTTATCATAACTTTTATCAAGATCAAGAACAATATTCAAGTATTTAAACTAGTTTACATAAATATTTAAACATGACAAAGGTATAAACCAACATCCTAAAACATAAATATTTAAACTAGTTTGTCATAATTTTTATCAAGATGAAGATAAACACTGAAATTGCTTCCAATTCACAAAAAATAAGAAGCTAACAATTATCGTCAATTGTATCAACATATTCCTAAACAACTTCACAACATCTGGATTTTTATTTCATAATAAAACAAACATAAATTCTGATTTTATAGCGTATAAACAAAAAAAACTTCAAATTCCATCTCTTATACACAAAGAACTTCAAAGTTCAGATCTTATACACAAATAACTAAAACAAAGAACTTCTAATTCAAATACAATTTCAGAATTCATAATATTAGAACACAAAGGTATTTTGATTTCATATGTTATACACAAAAACTTCAAATAGCATAACATCATTAACAGAAAAATTGAAGAATGGATTTTGAATTTATATCTTATACATACATATTTTCTTATTTCAAAAATCATTAACAAAACAATACAAGAAAAATAACGATGGAAGAGAAATAAGGATGAGGAAATAGAAGAAAAAGTCATATCTTTACCTGTTTGACGATTTTGTGTCCAACAAGAGAGATGACGGCTCGTTGTGGAGATGTCGATGTGGGATGCGGCTGTGATTGAAGAGAAATAGCGATGGAAGAAGAATAAAGAGGGAGGCATTGCACCGTAGCTGTTGTCGATGGAAGAAGAATAGCAGGATCTTGCGTTGGGTGCTGCCGATCGCTGTTGTCTTTAAAAGAGGATGAAGACGTTTTTTTTGGAGGTGCTGAAACGAATTTAGGGCAAGGGCATATTTGGAACGGTATCAGTCAGCTCTAATTCCCCATCTTTTACTGAGTCAGCTATCTAGATTTGGTTTAACAAACACACATCTGCTAACCGAGTCAACAAAATATGTCTGACCCGACTCGGTCAGACGTTTATCAAACAGCCCCTTAGTTAAGATTATTCATTCTAAATAATCTTCTATCAAAAAGTCATTTTAGACGCTTAACGTCTCTAAATTGATTAGCCCGGATCTACGGACGTTACATAAAAGAATAGAAAACAAAAAATAATTCAAACACCAAAATTGCAATATACTCTGATATATATATATATATATATATATATATATATATATATATATATATATATATATATATATATATATATATATATATATATATATATATATATATATATATATTCATACATTTTACATTTTGTGAAAAATATTTAAAAAAATTTATCAAATTGATGAAAAATAAAACGTAAAAACGAAAAAATTAAGAAAAAGTTAATAATAAATTTTTTTTAAAACAAAATACAAAAAAAAAAAGATAAAAAGAAAAAAAAAGACAAAAAAAATGCAAAATGTATTAATATATTAGATTATATGATTTAAGACATGGAGATAAATATAATATAAACTAGAAAAGATTCCCCGGCGTTGCCGTGGTCTGAAGGTATTGCTTTGTAAAGTAAAGTAGCATGTTGAATTACATTGAGATAATCTAGTAAAGAAAGATAAACAATGTCATCTAATTACATAAGTAAAGAAATCTAAATCATTATTTCTTGCAATAAATGAGGAAAATAAAGAAACAGTCTCACAAATTGAACTTTATTGCCATGTATGGCAGCGGCTGGAAAACCAATTCGGAAAATATAGAGCGTTGTTTTTTGTCCGTTAATGTGAGGGTAATTTGGTCTTTTAACGTAGTAGGGACTGAATTTGTGACGACGGGTAAACCATATGGACCATTTATATAATTTTGGCGGTGGTGATGGTGGTGATGGCAGCTAGTGGATGGCTTTATGGTATTGGGCGGGTGTCGGAAGCGACAATTTTTTCTGTTACTATTAACTACCAAGATGTGTATCTTCAAAAATAGAAGGCACCTTAAAAACTGCATGACCAACCTCAACAATTACGATCAACAAAAAGGGAAATATGTGTAATCAAAATATTACGAATGCTCATGGAAAAAAGATGTCCCACAAAAAAAACAAATGTAGAAAGATACAAACGGACACAATTGCAGACAATGAAAGGAAGAACAATTGCATGTAATGCCTTACCTGCAAGTTTGCAAATACATTGCTCTTCTTCCTCTAGAGAAAAACACACATATAAATCATACACTAAAATGTGACATTACATTTAAATGATAAACTAAAAGACATCAATTACATAATCAGTATTCCATAAAAATTCCAAATAGACTCTCAGATGCAGCATGAACATTACCTGCAGTGGCTGTCAGTGCTTGACGATTCTCACGTGTGTCAAAGAATCTCATTTCTTGTAGCTGTGCCAGCTGTGTAGCATACAATTATTTTGGAGGCACGGTGTTTTTTATTTTATTAATAAAAACGAAAAATATATGAGTTTGTTTATTTGTGAGATATGAATGATGATTTTGACAGATTAAATAATAAGTAAATAAGTTAGTTACCATTTGAATTGTTTGGCATTGTGAAGCCACCGATTCCAAGCCCCCAAAAGATGTTCATAAGCATATATCTAATCCCATGTTGTTGGGGCCACCTGCTACACCAAAAAACAAAATTATTATAAATATAATAATATTTATTAAGATTTAGTTTGCTACACCGGTTCACAAACAGAAAATCGATATGAAACCATGAATATCAATTACATGGTGAAGTGAAAATCAACGTTTGAGTTAACCTATTAGAAAAAAAAAAAGGATAAACATTTTACTGAATGGGTGCTTGCGTACCAGACAAAAGAGATTGATGCAGTGTGATTATTTACTATAAATTGTAACAACAGTATTTGAATGGATGCCTAGACCGGTGATTGTAATTAGCAAAAAAGTAACAATCTAAAATTATAAATTCAACAAATACAAAAACTCTTTACAAACCCAAACAAAAATGTTTTGCTATTGTTCATTTGTTCTTGTTTTTTGTTTTAACAAAACATTTTTTGTCCCCTGCTTCAATCACCTTCAATTACCTACGGGTGTGGGGATAAAATGACCAACAAACCGGCACTACTCCTGAGGATGGAGAAAACAAATACATATAAAATAAGCACAGAGATAAATATAAATTGTTTAAATGCTTCGATATAAACCGTATAATTTATAGATTAGAAACGTGGCATGAATAAGCCTAAGGCTAGGTTTAAGTGCAACTCTCTTAGCACTTGTGTGAGCCATTGAGGTAGCAACTGCTGTTGTCCAAATTGTGCCTACATATACATTTTTATCAACACTCAATTATATTTTGTCGGGTTGATTATTCAAAAAATCAAATCTATCATTATATTGAATAAAAGTTAAAGTTTATAAATTAAACTAACCTAAATTAAAGTAAGCTCATATTTGACCAAACCAACCTAAAAGCCCTAAATTATTGACATAGTAGTCTAGTAAGCCTATAATAAAGGAACATGCAAACACATCAAAATTAATGGTTTTGTAACATATATTGCTATATGCTCCTTATTTTGGAGAATCATAATAATGTTTGTCCTTCTTCCATGTGCAAATGACTATATTACCCTTTATTTAACTTTTTGATATTATTTTTATATTGTCATGTAGTTCTATTATTATTGAAATCAGGTAATTAAATAACAAATATTTAAAAAGGGTTAATATCGTTATTTTACTTAGAAGACAAAAAAAAGAACTTACAGAAACTTAAAATGAGGACCATAATTTCAAAAGACAAACTTTTTGTAATGAAATCTTTTTTAGGACCAGAAATGAAAAAAAACTGGAACGAAAAGTGCAAAAGAAAATAAAGACCAAAATTGCAAAAGAAAACCTTTAGACATGAAATTTGCCAAAAAAAAAAAAAAAAAAATCAGTTAGATTAGTAGGTTTTTCGTTTTTTTGTAAAGGAATCACTTAGCAACTGATTTTGATCAGCATCTGCAGCAACTGATTTTGTAATTCACGTAACGAGAGTATATAAAAGGTACGTTATCGACTTTAATGACAGATCCAACGATAAAAATTATGGTTGCTCAGGTTGACAAAATAGATATTTATAATTAACTTACATTTATCGTTTTAGATGTTCAAGATCATTTATACTTCTTCTAAGACTTGATGTTATATTTACTATTTTACCAAAAGAAGGGTTAAATTCATTTATTTAAAGATTGGGAGATTACTTAACCGGTGGCTTCACAACTATGTTTGGAGTTTGGTTCGTAAAATAATTTTGGAATAAACTAAATCTGTCAAAGGAATAAGAATCTAAGGAGTCATAATTTGTCAAGTAATTGGTTCTTTCAAGAAATGGAATATCGTATTCAATAGTTGAATATATATATATATATATATATATATATATATATATATATATATATATATATATATATATATATATATATATATATATTCTAATGTGTGTTCAATCATTTTTGTTTATTGTTCATATAAATACAATATATACACAAAGAGGGTATTTTGGTCTTTTACTAAAAAAAGAATTAAATTGAATTACTTACATGCTTCCCAAGAAGGATGAAATCAATCAAACACAGAATTTAAAGGATTGGAATGGAATCCCAAATTCCAATTCCATCAAAAAAAAAAAATCTTACTTGTCTAATTTTCTCAATCCCAGTGGCTGCAATGAAGTCAGGAAGTTGAAAGGGTTTTTTCTCAATACCTCTTTTCCCCTGCCACACGATTCAAAACATGATCAGATCCACTAAAAATATAATATAAAACCATAAATTACAATATTTATATTCTGCAACAAAGTGACAGAGAGTATATATATATATATATATATATATATATATATATATATATATATATATATATATATATATATATATATATGTTAAAACCAAAATCACCAGTATCATTGTAGATACATAGATAAAGTAAGTTGGTAATCTGCAAAAAAATAAATAAAGTAGTAAGGAGTAACCATTCAATTATGTTGGCACTTATATAAGCAACTTTTCATATTTGGATTCCATTTTCACCCACTCCTCATTACAGTTCATCACATCCGATAAGAGGCTTCAACCAATTCTGATCGTGATCGGATAGAATAAAACATCTAATACAAGTCTCTTCTTTATGATCACTATTAGCATTTAAATGTACCTAAGAAACCAAAGGAAACCAAACTACCTTCTTCATGGTAAGTATCAGCATCCGTTGAGTGAATCCCTGATCAAATCCTGCAGAAAAGTTAGCCCATCAAGTCTCCTTTCAATTCGCAAAGTGGAAAAAAAATCATATCAAAAATGAAAACCAACCTAATTATCCCAGAAAAGAAAACGAATCACATTAAGGTGTTTGAAATGATCCCTAAAACTATTTGGTTTCGAAACCTGAATCAAGCAATGGTTGATGCATTAAGTGATAGTTCCCTCTGCAGACAGCTTTGAATAATCCGAGACTTTCTGGCAAGATAGGACTTAGAAGTTACGAAGAAGCTGGCAACAGGATGAATATATAAACGTACCAAAAAAAAGCATTGCAGAACTCACAAACCCAGGTAGAGTCGCCAGAGTCAACATACTCCGGAAGAACAGAGAGGCCATCGAAACGCCTACATTTTCGCCGGCGACCAACAGAGATAACAGAAGAAGACGAAGCACCGGGTCAGCCCCCCTTTTCCGCCGAACATCCATCACATAATAAACACAAAAGCAACCAAAAAAATCGACAACAGATGAAAGAAAAGAACAATAAAAGAGTAAAATTACCTGGGAAAGAAAGAGCGAGGAGTGCAGAGAAACAGAAGGAGACGATGAAGGAAAGAGGTAGGGAAAATAAAAATCAACAAACAACCGAATGCAAAAGCTACAGCTGCCACGAAAAAGCAAGGCCATCAAAATGCTGACTAGTCAATTCAGCAAACAAATAGAAACATAAAAAGAAAGTGGAATATAAATAAACATAAAAAGAAAGTGGATATAAATAAAACCAAATGTGAAGGACGAAAATTGACAAACGATTGGCACGTTTATTATTCCTTTTAAACAGAATATATATATATATATATATATATATATATATATATATATATATATATATATATATATATATATATATATATATATATATATATATATATTAAATTAAAATAATATACTTTGAAGTTTGAATCAAGGTTGTCAAGATCGGGATCCTACCTAGGATCGTTTTTGGGTTTGCAAAATCGGAATCGTAAGATCGGGATCGAGATCCTAAGATCCCACAAAATAGAATATAATTTTAATTTATAATATTAATCATAAAAAATATTTCAAACATTTAATTTTTCGTTCAAAAGTTATAAAAACTTTATAATATTAGTCATAAGTTACAATAAAAATGATAAATTGTATTTTGGTAAAGGGTAAAAGACATAAAATGGTAAAAAAAGTTCATTTGAAAAAAAAAATTAAAGGAAGGTAGGATCGGATCGGATCTCGATCCTACGATCCTACCTACGATCTTACGATCCTACCTGCGATCCTACCCAAAATACGATCCTTTTACGATCCGGATCGTTTTTCATACATAGGATCGTAGGATCGTACGATCCTACGATCAGGATCGCGATTTTGACAACCATGGTTTGAATGGTGATTAGTCGATAGATTCGAAATTACATGCCGTAGGCTGTGCTTTAACAAAAAAAGGTTTAAAATTTTAAGCCACAGGATGTATTTGAGACTTTTTTATCCACTTTCCACTGCTTTTTTTACCCATCCACTACAGTAGTTGTTAGGAATTGACAATAATATCCTTTATTTAATTATAGATTGTATTTTAATTAGGACCTGGTTTGTTTCTCTCTCCAAACCACGAAGCACAACCCACATGACGCTGCAATGCAATAAACTCACTTAATCTGAAAAAATACGCGTCTCTTTTTTGACAACAATACGCGTCTCTTTTTTTACCCATCCACTACAGTAGTTGTTAGGAATTGACAACAATACGCGTCTCTTTTTTTAATTCAGAGCTCGTTCTACATCTGAAAAAATAAGAGGCTTTTGTTAAATTAAGTGGCTATTATTAAGATGCTACCAAACACACTTAATCTGAAAAAATAAGAAGTTGCCTCTTAATTTTCCAATTAAGAGGCTACCAAACAGCTCCTCACCTGACCAGAATGCAGTGCAGCTGCCCTTCACATTATTTTCTCCTCCGAACCCACGCAATTTCAATTTTCCGGTGGTTTTTTCCTTTCCTGACATTCTCGGATCCATTACCATTGAACCAGTCGTGTTAAGACACGTGGACTCGCAGGTCACTGCATTCTGCTGATTGAGTGACACATACACAGGTTCAAAAATTTACAAATCGTGCGAAGGAGTGTCCGCTGAAGATTGCAACGCCTAAAAGAAGCCGTAAAATAATTAAAATTAAAAATACACTATAATATTTAAATAAAGGGTATAATTGTTAATTAACTAACTAATTATGCTGTTGAATTCAAGATTAAGCCGACATCAGCATCTTGTCTTTTCTCCGTATTTTCATTCCTCGCTACCCTTTACTAAAACTTAATGATGAATTTAACTTAAAAAGACGCATTACTTTTCTGAGCAGAATAAAGCTAGTTCTCTCATGCCGCTTCCTCCGTTAAAAAAATAGCCTAGGAAAACCACTCTTTCTCACGATTCTCTTTGGAACATACTATATAATTAAACCAAATTTGGAAATAATTATCACCATTATTCACCAAAGCATTTCATTTTCCAAAAAACTGAGCCTCCCCCTAAAAAAGAGCCATGCCTTCCGCCATTGATAATCCAGTCGACAAGGAAGAAGTTGTTGTCGTGAAGATAGAAACACAAGCAGAAGTCCACCATGGAACATTCATTTTCACCATAGCATTTGTTCTGAAATGCATCCGATACATCGTTAGTCTATTGAAAAGTCTGGGTCGCCTGTGGATGGAGTATTACCCGCGAATATTTGGGGGAATCATGCTTCCATCCCCAATTAAGTTTATTATCATCGGTTTAGCTGCCTTCGCTGAAATGAAATCGCAAGGCTCTGAATTTCCTTTTAAAACCCACCCTCTAACTATGAATGTCGCCATTGCGGGTCTACTCTGTTATGGTTTGGCTTCAGCAGCCCAGCATTTCATTTCTGCCTGCACACGTCTTGGTCCTGCTTCCGTCTATGCCAATGTTGCTCACTCGGGAAGGATTGGTTCTTTGTGCATTTTGGTAGCATCCGTGGCATCATTGTTCTATCTTTGATATTCCCACACGTATGCCTATGGAGTGGGAACATATTTTTGAAAATGATTCCTAGGATTATGTTTGTTGTTCCATGGAACATAGAAATTTAATATTCTATTAGAGATAAAGCCTTAGCTTCCACGTTGAATTTTTAATGTTTGTAATTTAGGGGTGTGCGCGGTGTCGTTTGGTGTGGTTTTGAGTCAAAACCGCAAACCGCACCGCATATGCGGTTTGAATATTTTAGAAACCGCAAACCGCACCACAGATGTTCAAAACCGCATGATGCGGTGCGGTTTGATGCGGGCGGTTTATGCGGTTTAGATGCGGTTTGTAGGGTTTAATGAGTTGTTCAACATTAAATCTATCAAAAAACCAAAAACCTGACGTGTTTAAAAAAAATGATTGCTTTCATTTTATAAAAACAAATACAATTTTCGAGTTAAATTGTATTTAATAAATTGTGACTCATACTACTATAGTTTTATAAGTATCATTGTTATTGTTTTATATTGCTGTTGTAGTTGCTATATTCTTGTAAACCTTGAGATCTTGATCTAATAGTCATTTAATGTTACGTTATACATATTTGGTTATGATCTAATAGTCATTTAATGTTACGTTATATATATTTGGTTATTATAAGAAATATATTTATCTATATCATTTCTAAATCGTGATTTGAAGTTATAACAAAGTAAAGAAATATATATATATATATATATATATATATATATATATATATATATATATATAACATGCGGTGTGGTGCGGTTTGAACCGTAATTTTATAAATACAAACCGCAAACCACACGCATAGTGCGATTTGATAAAATGATGAACCGCAAACCGCACCACAAAATTCTAAACCGCATTATGCGGTGCGGTTTGGTGCGGTGCGAGCGGTTTGTGCGGTTTTTTTCACCGCCCTAATTTGTATTACAAGCTAGTAATCTTTGTACTATATATACACTTTAATATAATGGGAATATCCAAGATGAAATTATTATTATATAAGTGCTGGATTAAAAAAAAAATTATGAGGCACTAGTGATCAACAATATGATAGGGTGGGGCAAAAAACAATTATACCTAATACTCAAAATACAATTATACCTAATAGACAAACATTATAAAAGATTTCTTTATGTCAATTTTTATTGTTATTAAAAGTTAAATAATAAAATAATGAGTTACTAAAGAAAATAAATTTGGAATCAGTGGAAACAATAAAAGTCAAGGGTTGAATGGACAACCTTAAAACATTAAATATTTAAAGAAAATATAAGGTGGTAGTTTTTGTGCAAATGAGAGACGGAGAGACCATTATTATAACTCGACCATTTAGTTGCGTATTTTAACAAGCTTCAACCCTATACTAATTTCCCCCGTCTTTCACAAGAGATACATGCTTGCTACCTTCCATTCGATCATGAAACTCTTTCTCCACTCCACCCAACAATTACTTTCTCACCATTTCGTCTTCTTTTCAATCTAGTCAACATACAGAACATTTTTTTATTTTATTTTATTTTCTTTCTTTCTTTATTTTTTTTGGATGAGGGCACCAAAGAAATTAGCAAGAAAATATGTCTAAACTTAGGCTCCTCCCATGTAAAAAATTTCCAACCATCCGCCCCTTATATGGTATCCGCCTTAAAAAATCGATCCTCCTAATTGTTGCCCGAAATTTCTTCTCCTCCGATTATCTCTTCCCCTTGCTACTAAGCTCCATCTCTTAACCATTAAACTTTCATCTTCTAAGTACCTTGTCCGGAGAAATCAAGTTTTACCTCATCTATCTTATCAAAACTTAGCATGCTATATTGATGGTTCAATTGTTGCCCCTCCTATCACCAAATACAATTTTGGATAATCTTCTCCCAACCTAGATTATGCTCTTTGCCATGTTACAGACCAATATGCACTTCTTATTCTTCAGTTGTCTCCATCTGAAGTAGCCATTGTAGAAATTATTGGTCTCAAAACATCTATCCGGGGACATACGATGTTCTTTTGAGATTGCCTATAGTCATGATTTGGTGGAGTGAATACAACTAGTCATGTAACTGTTGGATTAAGTGTCTAAGCTCATAACTATAACTAGTATGTACTTGACCCAATAATAGCATGATCCTTTTGAGTTGCCTTCACCAATGCAATTTGATAGGATGGACTTTCGAGAATAAGGTTATTTGTGATTTATTAATATATTATAAGTATAATATATTAATATGAAATCATGTTATTTAATTAGTGTTGATCAAGAATTAATTTAGTGATCAAAAGAGACTAATTAAATATACGAGAGATTGATTATGTAAATCATTTATTCTTATAGTGTGGGTCAATGATCCATTAGGATGGACGAAATAGTCATGGACAGTCCATGAAGGTTTAATCCAATGGAGCCTAAGGGATATGGAAAGTCATGGAGCTTTAGGGTTTCATGAATGAAACCCTAACCTTTGGAACATTATAAAAGGAAACCCTTAGAGTCATTTTCAGTCTCCCCTAACATACTAAGAGTGTGTGAACCGATTTTGAGCTTAAAAAACTTATTCTCTCAAGCCTCCTTTGCACTTGGTGTTTGTGATACATTAGAGGCATCGCATTTGAGGTGCTAAAGCTTTTGAAGGCCAAGAACTACAAGTCCTACTTAGAGGTAAGTCATCTACCTAGTTGTATTGTTCAAATTGTTAAATTGTATGCTAGTTAGGATGAATGCTTTGGAAATTGATATTGCATGTATAATTAGAGAAATCATAGATGCAAAGCATCTAGGGTTGCATGTGCACCATAGGAGTGTTATAGTGCTTTAAACCCAATAGTAACATCTACTTTTTAGGGATTGCTCTTGGAGTTAAATATTTCTAATTTTTGATGTTTTAGACGATTTTGACTAAACACAGTGTGGTGATTGAGAATTACCACGACACAATCATGCATGTTTTATTTAACCATGACATGATCATGTATTGGCCACAATGCGGTGATGACCGGGTGCAAAACCCTATGTCCCAGGCCTTATGCCATATTTAAGCAACCTTGTGATATGGGTTTGCTCTCAACTTCAACCTCCACCCCATAAGAGAAACCCTAGTATGTGTGTGTGCGTTCTTGGTGTTTTAGTATGTGTTCATGTCTTTTCAAGGCTCTTAGAAGAAGAATAAGGTAATCAATGTTAGATGTTGGAGATGTTGTTGTTGAAGAGCTAATTCTACAAGAATTCTTAAGATCTAGAAGGTATAAATTTCATACCTTTTTACCTTATATCTTACTTCTTATATTTTAGAGTCCCTTTTTTTTGTTGTTGGAAGTGAATCCTTGGAGTTTCAAGCAACTCTATGGCCTTGGTTGGAAATCAAAGTAATTTATGGACCTTTGGGTCCCATAAAGTTGGAAGCTTGCTTAATAATCAGCTATGCATAAATCTCTTATGTCATTTTGGTCCCTTTTGTGCTAGGGCTTAAGATCTAGGCTACTAGAGATTTGGAAATGGATAAAATTTGAAACCTTATCCATGCATGGTCGAAACTGATCTACATCTTTAGAGCTACGAAAATAAGGGTTAAGATATTAATAAGTATACTATAATGGACATTACCACGGATCAACAAAGTCCTCACCATGACGTAGTGATGCTGAGTCCCACAACTATTTTATCATGTATTACCACGACATGGTGACTTGACTGTTGACTTTAATCGTTGACTTTTGGCTAAGTTTGAATTTAGGTCAAACTTAGGGTTTTAGGTCATAGATTGAGGTTTGACTCGTATTTAATGTCCAGGAGGGTATTGTACTTGTATTTACATGTGACGAGATGTAGGTATGTTTGCTTCGTTTGTGAGGTAATTTTTCTCACTATACTTTGTACTACAGTATAGATTGTCTATATGATAGGATGTTGGTATGTTGTAGTGATCTGTTAGACATGTAGATTTGTTAATAATTGTTAGTGACTATTTTTTGGTTATTATTTGTAATTTTATATTTCGACA